CTCTTTAGCTGGTTTAGGCAACTGTTTGTAATGCTGACTGAGAGCTTCTTTGTATCCCCCTTCTTGCTCCGAGTAATCTATCTACCTATAAACTCAGAATCCTTCCTCGACTCTTCCACCAAAGATTTTTCAGTCTTCCGTCGGAGACTCTCAGCTTTGACGATCTTTCAGTATTGACGCTTAACTCTGATGATCTTTCGTGCTTTTTAGTTCTGACAATCTTGAGTTGGAACCCCTTTTTTTTCTGCATTTCTGTTGGTTATGACAGTGCTGAGCCTTGGATACATCTCGAATTTTTCAGTGCATTATAGCCTTGATGATTAAATATGATGTCACCTAATCCGCTTCCAAATTAAACTAAGGTAGTATATACTTGCTAAAATTTTTAGCCTCATTATATCTACTAGTCCCTAGGGCAAGAGCTTCACTTGTAGAAACATTTAAAGGTAAGTAAGTCAACTGATTAACCAGGTTCCGTTTAACAGTTGAAGGTTGGAAAGCTTCGAATTTCTACAACCCCTCCTCAAATGGGTTGAGAGGTAGTGGCCAGGCTTTAGAACGTGAGGGACTAGGGGTATCCACACAGTGGATTGAACTGCTCACAGCGGTCATCAGTTAGTTGTTGGTACTAGATTGCTTGTAACGCTGGATGGGGGAGACCTCGGTGCGGTGTTCAAGATGGGTGGTTCCATATACAGACATATGTATGCAATTGGTTGTAGTATACCTTTTCCACCGTTCACTTAACTTTAGCCAAGTTTACAATTATCTTTGAGGGCAAGGGTCAATTACCGGTGGCTCTCACCGACGATAATCTTACTCTGCCATTGATTGGTCCGCCCGGCCCCTTTTGAATTTCCTCGTTAGTCCTTTCGCTACTGTGGCAGGCGGCTACCGGTCCACACATGTACCTTAACGCCTGAACCGCTCCATATTACCATTGTTATTATCCTCTCAACAACAGCGATGAAGTAGTATGCTTTCACACAAATGCACGTATTTCACCTCCAGGCAAGGTTTTCAAAGTGAAGTATGCTTTAGGTATGTTTATGTGACTTTCCATGGCGTAATATAAGGTTTATATACTGTTTATAGAAGGAAGTATTAGCTAGTTAGCTTTTACTAGCACAACCATAAAAAATAGCTCAATCTCCTAAGCGAAACGAGCCTCTGTCCTGAGCCTATACGGGGCTGCCACTAAGGTATTAACAGATTGACGTGCCTATTGATGGAGTCTAAGCTGATAGATATTCGATATAAGGGTAAAGAGCATGATACCTCTGTAAGCTAATCCAATTTTAAGTATTCTATAGCAAGAGTAGTAAGCAAAATAACTATGCATAACAGTATTATCTCACGGTTGACAAGGGCTCTATCTGTAAAAGCGGGTTCCGCTCAACCAACTGATGATGACGTTGATCCTGTTTTCCAGCTATGTTCTACCCAAGTGGGGTACTAGGCCGTGCGGGCAGAATTTCTCTAGCTATACCTAGTTACAATTTTGAATATCTTGCGCGAGGGAAAGCCAACTGGCAGAAACCTGGGCGTAGATAGTGCTGACAATACCTAGGCGAGCTATTCCAGGGGCTAAGGATGTCTTTAAAAAACTATTTAAATATATAAGGCGTCGTGGGCACGGCCCAGTACCCCAGTTGGATAGAGTGTGGCCGAAAGCAGCATAAATTAACAAGAATAAAATTCATAAGGCTATTTATAACAGGCTAGTTATAAATAGTTTACTATTCACAATTCAGGAGCTAATCCTTAGGTGCATGATATTTTAACCTACTATATCTAGCAGTATAGGTATTCATAAGTTAACGTTAGTGCTCTTTTATCATATATAAAACATCGATAACCATATCGTGACAATCCTATAACCTCCTGAGATGTGTTCGAAGGTAATGGCCAGTTGTACAACCTAAAGGATTGGGGTCCTTATACAATAGAGTATAGAATCATTGCCGTCACCAGTCGTTGGTTGACAACTGTTTCTATTGCTGACTGAGACTCCTTGTCATTGCTTTGGGGATGATTCAATATACATATCTACTGCAAAGCTGTCACTCTACCTATCCTTCTGTTGCTGCCTGTTTTCGTATCATTGAGATGATTGTCGCAGTTATTGAAGTGTATCGCAGTGCGAGAGCTGCGACAATTGCGCTTCTCCATTTGACCGGTCCGCCCTTGACCCTACTTAAGGCCGCCCCACTGGTTTTCGCCACGACTGCGGAAAGCTGCAGCCCAAAATCCCAGCCGTAACATTATATATTAGTATAACTAGACTTGCATTCTAATTTTCATATAGTAACTAGTATATATGTCAGATCATCGAATAACTTCGGCCTATAATGACTCGTGTCTATGTAAAGCACTGTTGATTTTTATGGTTAGGTCATATTAGAAATTACAATTAAAAGTACCAGAGTATAACTACTATTTTGCAATAATTCCATAATATTTAGTTTATTATTGATACGGTAATTGATTTATTGCGCGTTTTATCTTAAAAGAAAGCTCTTAAACAAAGACTGTATCTATTATCGTGAGAGCCGTACTTTCCTCCAGTGCTAAACTTAGCTTAAAGTATGTCGAATTCACGGTATACTAGGCTAAGCAACTAAGAGAGGCTTCTTCAATTGTTGAAAAGCTGCTTTGTGCTTTAACGTCCTTATTTACTCTACAATAAAAGTTGATCAATCGAACAGAGGTTTCCAGCGCTTTAAATAGTGTACGTATAGGTTAATTTCTCTTTTAATTAGTGTATCACGCCTCCCTCCGTGCTTCTGAGCTGTGTGAGAAAGCGAGGGGCCTCGGTCTTAGGATCGACCCTAGGAAGACGGATGCTTTGTACATTGCGCCGCGTGGCAAAGGGGCGACGAAGTCAAGGATGGACACATCTAGGATCCACGTGTCTGGCAGAGATCAGAATGTTGTTCCATCTCACTCCATCAAGTGGCTGCGAGTTACGCTCGACTCGCGCTCAGCCTCAAAGCACAAGTTTCTGCAAGAGCATCAGCCACTACCTCAGTAGTGTGTCTCCTCACCAGAGTCTGCAACACTCGCCGCGGCCTCCCTCCAATTGCAGCTCCCCGAATTTTCCGCGGTGCAGTAGTTCCTTCGCTTGCATATAACTTAGTTCAACTAGATCCAGATTACATGCGAGCAAGCGTTAGCGGCAGACCCGTCCCTACTCACATCAAGTCGACCTTAGGAATCGCGATACAGAGGATGAACCAGACCCTTCGCGCTCTCTTTCCGGTGTGGCACACTATTCAGACTCAGATGCTGTACTGGTTAGTGGGATCTCCGCCAGAGCACATCTGGAGTCTGGAGCGCTACAGGTGGCGATCTCGGGCTGAACGTCTCCCCGCTGGTCATCCGATTTCTATTAGACTTGCCGCAAGGCCATGGAAAGGATGGCCTCGGTTACATCAACTTGTTCAAGGCGTTAACCCCAGATTGGGACCTTGGGAACCAAAACTGCCTGGCATACGAACTTGGCTTGGCCTCCAAATAGCTTCGCAATCCAAATCTCCTCGAGCATCGCCATTTGACATGCAACGATGGTGGGCAAAGAATAAACCAGCTTCCTGTCTTTGGGATGGCTGGTCATCCAAGAGCTTCCCAGAACTTCCTAGACAAGTTCTAGGCCGCCGGATTCAGGAGGTTTCTGGCCATGGAGATTTCGCCGAACATCACCAACGTTTTGGCCATCCTCCGGAGGCCATTAAGACGTGTACGTGCGGTCAGGTAGTTCACCGTGGACATCTTGATGTGTGTCCCATCGCTACCTGGGGGAACCCGGACGCAACTCGGCTCGATGCTCGAGTTTTTCATAAACCCTTAATCTATACCTGAGCCGTGCCAACGAGCTTCGCCAATATGGTGAGATCCTTGACCCATTGACGTTAGAGCCTCTCCCTATTCCTTGAAATCATCTTCCTCGCCTTCCCTCGCCTGCAGTCAGAGCAGACGAAGAGGAGGCGTCAGAACGACCCGAGATTGTTATTCCACAAGCTCTCCCTAGTGGTTGATCTTTCTATTTTGTTTGTCGATCGCAAACGTTTCTCTCCTCTTCTGGTAAGCTACGCACAAGTTTCTGGTAGTAGGCTTTCCCTCGCGCACGATGCTTTAAGTTGTAGATAGTTATTAGTAGTTTAGCTATGCTCGCCGTCGTCGTGAGCACGGCCAGTACCCCAACTGGGTAGAACGTGGCCGAAAAATAGAATCATCAAAATCATCAGCATAGGTTAATTCTACTCGCATTTAACTATCCAGGTTGTGTCAGCGGTTACTGAATAAGGCTTTTGATTTTGAAGATAATTATACAATATTAGTTCTTATTAGCTCTCTTTATTAATCACCGACTCCTTTTGTACTGAATGGAGTACAGCCTTAAGACATGGTGGTGTTTCTGGAGGATTCATAAAGGTATGAGTATTACCTAAATAACAGATATTAAGCTTACTAAAGACAGCTTATTACATAGTGCTACGCCCAAACAGAGAGTATTAGACGGGAAAGGCAAGATCAGACAAACAGGACCAATAAAGGCATGATTCATGCGAGGTTCGAAATGGCCAATAGCAAGCAAGGGGTTTCTGATGAACGGTTGTTAGAGCTAAGAGTCACTAGCGAAGAATCAGAAAAACTGAGTATCACTGATGAAGGGACTGAATTGTCCATGGTAAACGAGACAAGAGAGGATTCTGGGTCTGTAAAACAAATACATTCCTCACAGCAGGAATAGGGTCAACAGAGCTCCCCTATCTGCAATACAACATTTACCTAAACCAAAGGGTAATCGAAGTACATCTAATTCAGTGAAAAAAATGTTTAGTCACGGATCCATAAGGCTTGAACCAAAACCGAAATAATCTCAGGAAGATTATCTGGATGCTCACACATAGTAACCTTTATCCTCAAACACTCCCGGCCCAGACGGAGTCCCGCTCTCTTTTCTCAAATACATCTGGAATGACGTCGCTTACTTCGCGATGGCTATATGCTCGGCAGACCTCACCCTTGGTGTCTTTCCCAGCGCCTTTAAGCGAGCGACGGTGGTCACTCTCTCGAAACCGGGAAGAGACCCGCGTTCGTACAAAGGCTGGCGCCCCATCTCGCTTCTGTCAGTCTTTGGCAAAGGCATCGAACGCATGGTCGCTCGCCGCATGACCGCCGCAGCGCTCCGTGCCGGCTTACTCCCGCCAGAAGTAGCGGGTGCCCATTCCAATTCGCTATGCCTTGGACCTAGTTCAGTCACTTGTGCATGACTGTGAAACGTGGCTAGGATGGGCTACCACAACTTAGTGGTGACTTTGGACATTGACTCAGCTTATCCCTCGGTATCTCCAGATAAGTTGTGCTCGGTGCTACTAGACCAAGGATGGCCTGAATCCACCTCTCTTCTGGCAGCAGATTTCTGCACAGCACGAAGCTTCTCGTTCCGCTGGGCTCGCTCGACCTTCCGCACCGACTCCGGTCTCCCTCAAGGCTCACCCTGGTCTCCCATCTTATTCGCTCTCTTTACTCTCCCCCTCGTTCGACCCAGCCAGGGTGCTGCCTTTGCCTACATGGACGACCATGCTCAGCACACATGGAGCCGTGACCCTTTTCAATTAGTGTACCACGCCTCCCTCCGTGTTGCTGAGCTGTGCGAGAAAGCGCAGGGCCTCGGTCTTAGGATTGACCCCAGGAAGACCGACGCCTTGTACATTCCCCTGCGGGGCAAAGGTGTGACGAAAACAAGAACGGAGACATCCAAAATCCATGTAACTGGCGGAGGGCAGGACGTCGTGCCATCTCACTCCATCAAATGGCTGGTAGTTACTCTCGACTCACGCCTCAGCCCCAAAGCACAGGTCCTTTAAACCACGCGCAGGTTTCTGCCATTAGGCTTTCCCTGGCGCAGGACTTTATAAGTTTTAAGTATCTATGGATAGTATAACTATGCCCGCCGGCGTCGTGGGCACGGCCCAGTACCCCACTAAGGTAGAACGTGGCCAAAGAAATAAAAACAATAGTAATGATAATAATAAGCTGGGGAAGTAACAGTACAGTTGACTCTGTGCGTTAGCGCTCCTCTTCCATGAGATGAGTCAAAGAAAAGACTGCAATCCACTGGTGAACTAGGAGAGTTGTTCTTAAGACGTCGGAACCGTTTCTCGGCTTGACAGACAAAATTTAATGATTCTTATTTGATGGTCACTACAGCTGTCTTGATTACCGTTCTGCTCAGGAACTCCATAAGCTAGGGAATAATAGTTACGGAGGAAATGGCTTGAGGATCGGTAAGCGGGTATACCCTCGAAGCCTCTAGTGTTGGAAAAGAGGGCACAAATAGGTACATATGGTCGACGTCAATCAAGAAATTCCCTCCTTCCGGGAGTCATGCCGCCAAATTGTCGTGGTCAGCCTTATAAGATCCTAAAATATTGATAGGGACTGGTATTGAGGTGCATTCTACATTTATCTGTTATAACTGACAATAGTACATATTCTCAGCTCACGTATAACACCGGTGCTTATTCAAATGATCGTGTAAGGACTCCATGAATTAGGAGTAAGTGGGTTTAGGGCTTGTTTAGCATCATTTGCCAGAGTAATACTTTACAACCCACAGTTGCATTGTTCCAAGAATTAATAAGAGAGTCAAGTAGATGACGGCTCTAAGTGTTAGAGATACTAATTAATAAGGACGATAAATCTTTGGCTAAGAGACACTTTCTTCGAAAAAATCAGTCTCTTTTTCATAAAATGCGTCTAGGCGCTCAGCTTGTAAATGGCCGCAAAAATATCTTCACAGTTAAACGCCCTATCTTTCACCGGTTTTATGAAATTACTATAGCTTTTTTGCTTAAAAATAGGAAACTATGATCACAATCGATCTCTAACTACACTTAATGGAAAAAGAAATTATTCGATAGTTCCTAAGCCCTGCTTGACTTAGCTCAACGTTATATTGATACATCCCTCTCTATACATTCAACAACCTGTAACTCTCCTGTATTCTGATATTTAGGATATTATGTACCAGGTATATAATAGTTCACAATGCATATATCGGACGTCTAACCTACGAGATGATTATTTTCTTCAAAGCAACTTGTATCACAATTCACAACCTCCTAAGACTGTGTTCAAGGTAGCAGCCAGGTTATAGAGTCTGAGGGCCTGGTTCTTTACACAGTAGTAGTTTATGGGACTTACTGCAGTCACCAGTTGTTTTTTGACATCTGTTTTTATTGTCGATTGAGGTCTCGTCATCATGGCCCTGGGGGGTGGGATGTTTTGTACATATACTCTATTCGAAGTCGTCAGGGTGTCTGCCAGAGTGAAGTGCCTGCCAGATATATTCTTCATCATTTTTGGTAACAACAATGGTAATCATTATGTAAATGTGGACTTAATTCGAGATATAGGATATTTATCATCTTCGATTGAAAAAGTCCTAGCTAACCTATATGACAATTCCCCCTCTCGAAATGGGTTTCAAGATAGTGGCCAAGTGTTCCAACGTAAGGGACTGGAGTTTTCACAAAGCAGAGCATGTGTTTCATCGCGGTCACTAATTGTTGGTTGACAATTCTTTCTATTACTTAACTAGGGAACTCGTTCATCCATCTACCTGTTATACTCGAAACTTTTTCTGTTTCTTGTACTACAAGCCTTTTAGTCTTCCATCAGAAATATTTTAGTTCTGGAGATTTTTTATTAATAGCTTCGCAATCCAAACCTCTTCGAGCGCCGCCATTTAACATGCAACGATGGTGGGCAGAGAATAAACCAGCTTCCTGTCTTTGGGATGGCTGGTCACCCAAGGGCTTCCTGGAACTTCCTAGACACGTTCTGGGCCGTTGGATTCAGGAGGTTTCTGGCCATGGAGATTTTCCCGAGTATCATCAACGCTTCGCCTACCCTCCGGAGGCCATTAAGACATGCATGTGCAGTCAGGTAGTTCGCCGCGGACATCTTGGTGTGTCCTATCGCTACTTGGAGCAACCCAGACGCAGCCCGGCTCGATGCTCAAGCTTTCCACAAAACCTTCAATCTATACTTGAGACGTGTCAATGAGCTTTGCTAATATGGTAAGATCCTTGACTTATCAACACTAGAGCCACTCCCTACTCCTCTAAATATTCTTCCTCGTCTTCCCTCGCTTGCAGTCAGAGCAGACGAAGAGGAGGCGTCAGAACCACTCGAGATTGTTGTTCCACAAGCTCCCCCAATGGTTGAATTTCCTTTGCTCTTGTTGATTGCAAAGAATGTTTCTCCTCTCTTCTAGTAATCTACGCGAAGGTTTCTGCCAGGAAGCTTCCTCTCGCGCACAAGGGTTCAGTTGTAAGTAGTTAACATTGTACAGCTATGCCCGCCGTCGTCGTGGGCACGGCCCAGTACCCCCTCTGGGTAGAACGTGGCCAAAAATAGAACCACCATCATCATCATCCTATATCTAACGGCCTAGAACGTGCCTAAGAAGTTCTAAAAAGGCCTTGGATAACCAGCCATCCCATGGACAGAATGATGGTTTGTCAGCGGCGCGGTAGGAAGCCAATGGAGGACCAACTCGGCAAGGCTTAGCTCAGTTATCAATGATCTACTTCTAGGGTAGCTTCTTATAAACCCAGCTAAATAGCTCTTTACATAAAGCTTTGGCCACAATATTATATCCAGTATATATGATAGTTATGATATATGTTATTTCGATCTTGATATAAAAAAAAGCTCAAATATGTATGCAGAAGACCTTTTCAATAGGGGCGTAGCTTTAACAGCCACCGAAAATACTATCTTTCGGTACCCTGTGTTATTCGAGGAGTAGGAAGCTAGATGTGCGATGCAATACCCTACCGATTGGTATGGCAGCACTCTAGGGGTATCCTAGCAGAGCTTTAACTATATATTAATGTGAATACCTCGATTAGGGTAACTAGCATTCTACGCTTGATTAGACTAGAAACTGCAATTCATGCCGATATTAATAAGTAACTTAAGACATGCAGATAAGTCATAAATATAAATGGGAATATCATGCATGGTAAATTTGATTCTATCAAAGAATGCTATAAAAAGAAATAATCTAATATAATGCAGCCATGGTGTAATTTATGACCTGCATTGGGTAAATAAGCTTAGCTAAACTCTCTTGAATCTGTATTATAGTTCTCTCCATTTTACGGCCAGCGGGAATGAAGGTGGCCTTGCCAAGGAAAAAGCGGGGCGGGATATGCCAAATGGACAGAGCAGTCAAGCCATTAATCACCGCCAACGCCAAATTATCATAACGGGATACTTCAGTATCACCGGTGATAATTCCAGTTCCTCAGGTTCCACAACCTGGCTACTACCTTCAACCCATCTCAGGAGGTTGTGGAATTGTCACGTCTGTGTTGGATGAATATCAAATCCATTACCTTTGCAAGTCCTTTATATGAAGGGCTTAGTGCAAGTTACCTAACAGGAAGCCTATGGCTTAAGACTATCTTATATAGAAAAGCTTTTCATTTAGCATCAGATTAACTACCTGTTAGTCCGAAGATTGCTCCCTTGTAATCTTCGATAGATCTCTTCGGGTCTTCTCTCAGTGTTCTCTAGTTCAACTGGCTCGTTTGGAGGTGCAAATGCATCTCTTGGTTCGCTAAACGTCGATGCTTCGTAGACGAATCCAGGGGTGTTTGATTCATTCTGTACTCCAATCTCAGCATTTGGCAGCCCACACCATAGTAAGCGATAGATTAATAAACTTAAACTTACCCTTGACGATACAGGGATCTTCTTTATCCATCCCTTCTCTTTTGAGTCAGTCCATGCCAGTACTATGTATTCGTCGTCTGATATGTTCATGAATGACAGAGCAAAGCTGTCGGTCTTTGCAGTTAACTCCTTCGTTGTTGAGATTTTTCGCACATCAAGAGGGCTGGAATTCAAGTTTGAAACTTGAAATACACAGCCCTTGTCATTGACCATGACGAGCTCCCTCCCAGACGGCGAAAAAACAGCACACTGAATCCTGCTGCCGAGCCTGCTGCTGCTTCTTCCTGACTGGTCTTTGCGCACCTCTGTCCTATGGCCATCACGAGGCTGAATCAAAATGGGATAACCTGATTGTGTCCAGGTAGTAATGCAGACAAGGTCGTCTTCGCCGTTGACACCAGAGCGGAAGACTGCTGAAGAGACTCCGTTGTCTTCTGACTCATGGAGACGGACGGTGTAGCGGCAGTTGTAAAGCTCGTGGAACACATGAAACGGGAAGCGCCAGCACCAGATCTGTATCGTGCCATCTTTCTTGTTACGAGTGCTGGCAAGAAGAACAAGCCCGTCGTTGGAAAACGATAAAGTGTCAACGCTAGGACAGCTCTTACATTCGGGATGGTAGGCGGCATGCAGGCGGTCCTCTCGAGGCTGTTCTGCGGTTCTCGCGTTGAAGAACCGGACAGTCGCATTCTCAAAGCCGACCACAACGTAATTTTCCCGTTTGTCTATTGCAATGCTTCTGCACCACAGGGAGGACGGGATACGGTACTCCACAGCGGGAACGGTTGGTTGTACGAGGTTTATAATGCGTAGCTATCAAGTACGACGAACATCAGCAGAAGCTCACTTTGACAGAGTGAAACATCAGATCAGCAGCAGAATTCGGCCATCTTACCGTCAGTTTTTGATCACGGTTGCCCACAATATAGGCAAGATGCTCCTTTGCAACAGTTGCGAGAAGACATGTGCTTTCTGGCGTTATCGTACGCACTGGTCTGGGCGGTGAAGTTCCAACATCCCAAACCTGTATTGCGAACTGTGTCCAGAAAAGCGCGAGAGCCGACGTTTGTGAGAGAGCAACACTGATATTTTTGGAAGGTCTCACTCTTGTCTGTCTTTGGGCACTTAGGAGGGAGCCGAGAGAGATAAGCTCTTGTTTTTGGGCCTCGAGCGAACCGGAAGACGACGAACTCGAATCCCCAGGGCTTGTATTGCTATTAGACGGTCTAAGTTTTGACAGGAATCCTGCAAACCTATTCTTTTCCTGCCCAGGGGTTACGGGACTCGTTTGCGGGGTTGGGGGGGAACGGGGTTGCTCTGCGTCTACCGGTCGTTGAACACCGGCTGAACCACCTGAAGACGATAGCGGGTCACTAGACATCGTGGCCTCCCCATTAACATGGCTTAAATCTGTTTCCTCCTGTGTCCTCTTCCCCGAGCCAGTAGAGATATCAGGGTGAAAAGGCACAGTCTGTATTGGGATTGGCGATGCATGTGGGACCGTGGGTGAGTCAGGGCTGACCACCCCTGCGTTTCTGGAACCGGGCTGGTCAACTGCTGGACTTGCAAGAATTTGGGTTCCAGGGGGGTTAAGAGACGACAATGGCCCATTGACCATCTCGTATCCCGAAGTGACAATGCCACTACTGGTTGTCGGAGGAACCACCATACCAGAAGGATCCAATTTTGGTGGCCACATCTGGAATGGAGGGCGAAGGTGTCGCTCAACGTTGATTGTATCAGCATCGGGCCGCAACGGTTCAATCAACTCCCAGGTTTGCCTTGCAATTGTCACCTCGCGGGCCAGAGTGACGCCCTCTCCGCAGTACAAACACCTTGACTGAGGAGGAAGACGGATTTCTGGTGAATCTGGCGTACTCATCTGGAGAAGGTTCATAATGTTAGCATAGAGTAGATAATACTGATGACAGGATTGCACATGACGTACGGGCACTTGGATGCCTGAAGACCTCAACTGCGAAGCACCAACTAGATGACAACTAGGACAATTGAGGGCATAAAGGCTTGGCCGTGTACCAGGGGTATAGCGGCCAGAAGGGTCATCTTGTAGTGCGATGTTTGCAATCACTTGGGATAGGCTATGGGCTATTTCGCGATCGCTTATGCGGTAGACAACCTGTCGTTCTCTTAACCTGTTGCTTAGGGCGTCGAGCGCGTCGAGCTCACATTCGTCGATCCGGGGCCCAGGAGCATTGTGGCGCGCGAGGTCGAGTGTGTCCGGTAGAATAATACGAAAGGTAGTACTGAAGGTGATTACCATATCAACTTTGGTTAAGTTTGGGGGCAGGCGCAAGTTATTCAGAGCGCTGAGGACGGCATTGCGAGCACGAGCGGACGAAGCATGTAGGCGCACATCCCTCATCTCCCTGTTGACGTGATACTGGATCCAAGCGGCCACTACGAACTGCGAGACATCCCTCAACGCAAGGAACTGCACTAGCCAGTTCCCGAATCCGCTGGCTGGCACAAGCTCACTGATGGAACTCGAGTGCAGACAGGGGGGGAGCGGATACTAAGAACGTGACGTTAGCAACCTCGATGGCTTAAACTATATTCTGTTTAATCGAATCCATACCAGTTCTTTTGTCACATTTGGTAGTTCGGACTTGAGAGGGGCGGGAAGACCAAGACTGTTTGGGTCGGCATGAAGCTGTCCAGCAACCTCCTTGCAAACCTCCAGAAGAAATGACTTGGGCCCGGGATAACTGTCGTATACTTGCTCGATGGCGCCATGTATTCGGGCAAAGCGCTCACGTCGGTCTTTAGACCGTTGGTTGGTGGGGGCTTTAGGATGAAGCGTAAGGACCCGGAGGGCGGAGAGAAGAAACTCGGCCAAGTACCGGTCGCGTAGTTCGCGGTGTGCCCAGAGACTCTCACGGCTGTCGATGATAATCTGGAGGACAAATTCGACTGAGCGGAGAGCAACTTCCCAGCTCACAAGGAAGCCCAGGTACCAGCTAAGATGGGAATGCTCGCGCTCTGCTGGTATCGTCAGACGCTGGAGATCGAAGATGGCCTTGAGCTGAACGAGGAGCGAAATGACCAGGTGCTGGTATGCTTCGCGGTCGGCAGAGCTCGCGTAGAGCCTCTCGAGAGAGAATCGACCCAAGAGCTCCAGCACGATGTCATCGACATCGCTACGCAGCACCAGCTGTCTCCAGACATTGGCCAAGCTATCGAAAAGAGTCGAAGCCTGAGAAGCCATACCACACGAACAACGACGCCTGCGTGGGTCCCTTAAGTATATATATGTATATGCAGAAACTCTTTGGCGCAATATTATGATCTACCAAAGATCCCGGATGGCTTCTTTACGTGAGAGATGTTGCGCAACAGGCACCTAATGCGGGGATGTGGGGTTCCAACAATGACAGAATGGCCGACGTGTAAGCCCCGGTGATCTCTCTCTGCGCCAAATTATGTGTACCGAGCATGAATGCCTTCTGCCGATACCAGACTGGTCTGCATAAGACGCGAGCGTCGATATGGGGACTAAAGTCAATGAGATACCGAGCCGATGAGCACTAGAATGGTAGAATGACGAGCAGTCCGTTGATGAGTAGTGGTAGTTACAAGCAAACTCCACAGCAGGATGGCTCATGGAGCGTGGGCAAGAAAGCCAGCGCCAGCCCTGTGTCGGGCTCGTGGCTGAATCGCCAATGAGGGGTGGTCTTCTAGTACGAGTCGAGAGCAGGAAAGACTAGTGCTGGTGTCGACTTGGCGCAACAGGGAGCGACTTGACTTGCATCCATATTAACATGTGGACTTTGGGGAACTAGGCAGTCGTCGGCCAGGGGGTAGGTGGCAGGGCAGGCCAATGGATTGAATTTAGTCTTACCAAATATTCTGCCAAGCAAGATACCCACCAAATGAACCGTCGGCGTGGTTAACAAGCCCAGCATTCTAGACACACGCTGTCACCAACTCAGCCGCTCGTCTACTTAGCCATTGGCTAGCAAGGCTCGACGTCTGCGTTGCGCCGGTGTCTCTGTTGATAGACAATCAAGGCAGGCGAGCACACTAACGGTCCTTTCTTACAGCGTTTCCGTCTTCATCGCCCTCCCTTGTCTTGGACATGGCCTTGCGTGCCGCCCACCTGGGATCCGAGTGGCTGAGCCCTTCATTCGGATGAAATCCCGCCCAGTAGGGCTGCTTCATGAGTTCTGGGTTTGCCAAACCGACCACCAAGGCAGATCTTACAAGTAGATTACCCACGGTCGCGTGGGGCGCGTGCTGCGCAGATACGTATGCCGGATTCCAATCCCAAACCCGATAGCTTGGTGGGTGGGTGGTGGACATTGCGTCCTGGGCAGAGAGTCCCCATGAGCGGGACGGACCCCGGATTGGAGGGGAACAATGGATGGAGAAAAGTAAGCAAGTATTCTGTGGTTGTCGCGTTCCGCAAGTTGGGCGACCTGGTGCCAAGGACGGCAGGGCTGGGCCAAGCCGTCGAACAGCGTGTGCCGGACCCGCCCCGGCCAGTCGCCGTTGTTCGCCAAGCTTTCGCTAAAAAAATAAGGTTACAGTACCTGCGGAGAATGACCCGCCAAAGGGAACGATTGTGTGGCTTATCAACCGCTTTCCAACCAAGATCCAACGTCACTATCTTGAGCTCGATCAAAATAGCCTGCGGGACGCTACTATTTGCGGACAGCTAGGAATGCGTTTGCTATCTTTGCAATATGCAACTGTTAGGCTGAACTGGAGTGGAAGACCCTAGACATACCACAGTTCTGGCCTACGCAAACACGATTCCGTCGAACACATCAAGCCTGCAACTTGCAAACATATATGCAGAAGGAAACCTTCATCCATAAGGCATATCTGCCTAATTCCACTAAAATGACATGTAGGCATCAGCATGATACACACTGATCAACTCATAATGTGACACTGTCGGGTCAGTGAAAACTGGTGAAAAAAAAAGGCCTTGTGGAGGGCCTGGGGGCATGCATGAAAGGGGTATTACTTGCCGTTTATTTAGCCCTCTGGAACTGGGACCCGACAAGTGAGAAGCTTGAGGGGTAAGAAAGGGATATTGTTTGGCCGACTACTACCTAGAAGCGGAAGGCAACCCAACGTATCCTCGTACAAGCATGCATCAACCAGCAGCTAACCGAGGTCGACGTTCTTCTCCGCCACTCTTGGCTGCATGGTTGTCCGCCAGACTATATGGAGTGGAGATATTCGATCGCCGTGTCTCGCAGGGCTGGGTAATGCAAATAACGTCGTGTGGTGTATGATTAGCTGATTATTTTTACCCTGCTGCAGGGCAGGGGCAGGAGACCATGGGGTGTTGCCCAGGGAACGGGTCATAAGGCGTGGAACTGGCTTATTATACTGGAACATCGAATGGTGGTTCGGGCTTGCTTGCGCTCGGGTTATATCCCGGCATTCTTGTTCTAACTTGCCTCTGTCTCTCAGACGCATACTTTTTGCGACTTGAATGTCTCTTCGATCGAAGGGCGGTGCCATCCTGTCTGGCTGAACTTCTTATCCATTACAGGCGCCATTACGATGGACTACGAGAAGCCAGAGGCTGTTAATCCTCAACTTTATCCCCACACCGGCCATCAGAGCCCTATCCCAGATGGGGAGGCAACGCTACACGGCGGTTTCGATGAGCCGCCGACTCCCGAGGACCGACGCGAATTCCGTGGAGACAGCCTCTGGTGAGTTGAGAGCACAACCAATATTCTCCCAGTCGCATGTCACTCACAAATTGCTCTTGCCCAGGCGAGTGTTGCATGAGAGACACATCAATGTGAGTGTTCTCCTCCGGGCTTGTATTATGATATGTCTTGCATGCGGCATTGGTTGACTTCCCTGGCTCTTTGCGGTAGATGATTGCATTTTCTGGGTAAGGCCTGGGAACTGTTTGCTCTTAAGGTCAACTTAGACTGATTGTATCGACATTTGTCAGCACTATCGGAAATGGTATAAGTGCTATTGACTTGTGAATCTAGTCGCATAGCTACTCACGCATTATCTGCAGGATTGTTCCTGGGCTGTGGGAGATCAATCGCTAGTGCCGGTCCTGGCGGTGCTGTCATGGCGTACATCCTTATGGGAATTGTGATTTCATCCGTGATAAGTTGCCTCGGAGAGATGACTGCCTTGATGCCAGTCAATGCTCCTGTTATGGAGTTTCCTCGTCGATTCGTTAGCCGGGGCGTTGGGTTTGGCGTTGGCTGGGTTTATTGGTAGGCAGCCCCAGCGACTTTATCTCGTTTTAAGTAAGGCATGTGCTAATACCAGTGTGCTGGGGAAACAGGTTTGCCTATACCATTCTTGCTGGTGAGCAACTGGTTGCCATTACAAATGCTATCAAGTTCCGCTACGACGATGGCAAAACCCATCTGATCTGGCAAACCGGAGTGGATGTCGATAATGCCGTGTGGATTACTGTGTTCCTAGTACTTGTTATCATCTTCAACATGTTTCCAGTCCGAGTACGTTCCAAACTGGCAACTTCTGTGCTTCGAAAAGGGTTACTAACGCCTAGAGTCTTGTAGTGGTTCGGCGAGCTGGAATATATATTCGGTACCTTCAAGCTGATATTCATATCGTTTCTGATTCTGGTAGGTTTTTACCTCGCCTGAAATGAATATAACCTGATTAACAAGCGTTCGAATAGTTGATGTTTTTCTTGTCCATCATTGAGCGTTGGTCACCCGGATAATACAACCCGGCTACATAAGATCTGGCTAATTGTTCATCTTTCAAACAGCACGTTCCAATGCATACTACCACGAACCTCTAGGTACTCGCTGTATGTCTTGCTGTTACGTCCGGAGCTACCCAAAAAGGACACTATAAACTAACAGTTCGTAAAGACTGGAACGACCCTTACTCGTTCTTCAGTACAGTTTACCGGGCTAGAACCGATGATCTAGAAGTGAAACAGACAATTACCGGATCCCTTGGGACACTTTTGGGTGTCTGGTATGCTATTGCAAAGTTCCCTCTATTGCAATATCTTTCCAAAGCTGGTATCTTGATGCTGGTTGCTCGGTGTTCACTAACTTGGTTAACCATAGGACCACGTTTACCAGCGTCATGTTCTCCTATATCGGCATGGACATCATGGCAGCTACCGCTGCTGAGAGCCGAGCGTTAGCTGATGTCGAGGCTATGAAGATGGCCGCTCGGAAAATCAATCTTCGAGTCGTGACTTTATATTCCCTCGCTGTCATGACTGCATCCTTTGTCGTCCCGATGGACCATCCTTTCCTGAATGGCGAGGCGACCTCAGTCAGTGCTCGATCAGTATTCATTATTGCCGTCGTTGAGGCTGGTATGCCAAAGCTCGCCCATTTTTTCAATGCCGTCTTTGTATTTTCAGCATTTACCTGCGCTATCAATTCCATGTATATCGCGACGAGAGTCCTCCATACACTTGCTCTTCGAGGGCAAACTGGGCCGGAATTCATTACTAGGCGGTTGCGCCAGTGCCGCATGGGAGTGCCGGTTAGAGCAGTTCTCGTCACCGGCGCTGTCATGATGATAGCATACATGGGTCGCTCAGGCAACCCTGGAGCGGTAAGTCGATTCAAAATGCTCGGCCATATGGTAGTCTTATCTGACCATAATTGAATATAGCGCCTCGACGAACTTGCCAATAACTGCACGGTTTCCTGTCTCATCATGTATGCCTCTATCTGCGCAACGTACCTATTCTTTTTCAAAACGTCAGTATCATCAATATCCAAGAGCGACTTGAAGTCGGGGTTCTGTTCACCGAGAGAACATGCAGACTAACCAAACGAGTTCCAGGCTCGAGGAGGCCAAATTGTACGGCAATACTTCTGAAGCTCAAGCAGCCAGTTACGACAGAAATCACCCCCTGTATCCTTACAAGTCTCATGGCCAGTGGCTCAAGGCAGCATTCGGTCTCATAGCTTGTATTATCTTGACACTATTTAACGGTGTCAGCGCCTTTATCACGCCGTTTAGCCCCCGTAAATTCGTGTCGGCATACATCAGCGTCAGTGAAATCCTTAATCAATCAACATCATAGATTTTACTCCGGTTGGTAGGGTTCCGATATGGCTAACATGGGTTTTATACAGCTTCCCGTTTTCATAATTTTGATTCTAGGTTATAACATCCACAAACATGGCTTTCGCTTTGCGGATTGGTGGACGGACAAGTCTGGTGATCTCAGCAACACGGTACAGGCTAGCAGCTTGAAACGAAAGGGTCGGTTGGAATTCCCCGACTCTGGCCTTACCAAGGACAATTTACGAGCATTTGGCGAATGGGTTTTGGTGTGGCTGAAATAAGTAGTCCGTTTCTATCCATTTACTGTCAATTAATTCGTCACGGCTCGGGAAGAAGGGCTAAAGGCAGGTGGTAAGCTCTTGTGCTTCATCAACCCCGTATCTACTTCTAGAGTATATTCATGTACTGTAATTCATAAGATGCAATGCTTCATAGTATAGTATCTACGTAGACTATCTTCAACAGGTCCATATCCGTCGAGGGAGCAACTACCTGTGTTCAACACTAGAGACTGCCAGGGAAAACAGTTAGAGCACAAATAGGTTGCCGTTTCAAGAAGTCGAGAAGTAGTGACTTAAATCAGTAATCATTAGCTTAGACGTACGTAGACATGTTGTGGTTTAGTCGCCCAGTTTAACTCCTGCCAAAGATATCTCTATTTCCAGACACTACTGCCCTTTGGAAATTAACAGTATACTAAATGATGGTTTCTGCTTCTTAGTGCCATTTTCTAGCACACATCCACAGAACTTATGCCGGGCGCTAAAGTAGTATTGAGGCAATTGGCCGTGCTCTGAAAATTCTTTGTGATTACCATGCTGGGCACGGCAGATGTGCTGGTAATCCAACAGGATTCTGATGTGCGACACGGTGGCAAGGAAACCAGTCCAAGGAATCAATCCTGGTACAAGAATTACGACAAGTGCTTTGTTTCAGCTTTAACAAGTAGGGCCTGTGGTTGAGACAACTAGTCTTTTCGATGAGGACCTTATCATACACGAGGATAAACTCATAGCAAGCGAGTATTGTTTGGCTGGAAGCACCAGTTGGCTTTACGGCTCATATCAAGTGCTTTTTTTTTTTTCATACAATAGGCGGGATGTGTGACAGTATGTAAGTGCGCATCCATTACTAACCCCCTCCCAGAGCCAGGCTTTGTGGGTGTTCTTGGATATCAACAAAACCAGACATCAGACAACCCAGACACATACCCTAAACGACAAAACAAAGGTGATCGACAGCATGGAATTCAACCAATCCTGATGGTCGGCACTTTCATACAGCGCCCCAGTGACCCATCACCGATGCTTTTGCAAAAGCAGAGCTTGAAAGTCACGTCAATATTTGTTGTTATATGTTTCTACACAGTCAACCTAGATATGGCGTTGCAAGGTCTTAGGTATTACTTGGCTAAATTTCATTTGATCTATAAACACAGTAGATTATTATGGGCTGTCTGTACACACATAGGTTGAGGAGTTCATCCCTATGCTGACACAAGCCCCCAAGTCTGGGACATAATAACACCGAAAAACTCTATTCAGCGCACTGAATACCCGGAATGTATGTTGCTGAACAAGTCGCAACGTGTAAAAAAATCAAACCCTTGTCTAAATTGGAAACGCCCAGGAATGCACTGTACCCAAGGGAATAGGCCCTCAGAATCTTATATTACACAACCAAGCGCAGTTAATTTTGTTTTTCTTTTTTTTGTGCAAAAGTGCTACCCAAGAGCACTTTCCAGCCACTAACCGTCGACAATCTACCAACCCCCGCATCCTCAAAACTCTCGAGCCAGATCAGAGATGCCCCACTTTAAAGAAGCATCTTCCTGGGATCCTCAATGTACTCCTTGACCTTGACCAGGAATTGCACGGCCTCCCTGCCGTCCAGCAGGCGGTGGTCATATGTAAGCGCAAGGTACATCATAGGACGGATTTCCACCTTGCCATTGACGGCGACGGGACGCTCCTTAATAGCGTGCAGGCCGAGCACAGCAGACTGGGGGAGGTTAATGATAGGGGTGCCCATAAGGGACCCGAAGACGCCACCGTTGCTAATCGTGAAGGTGCCGCCGGCCATATCCTCAATGGTGAGCTTGCCGTCACGGGCCTATTACCAAAGCATGAGGTCAGAACTCGAACGTCAAGCACAGAAGACAAAGCAACGTATGTGGATGAAGCCATACCTTCTTTCCCAGTTCGGCAATAGTCTTCTCGATAGTGATCAAGTCCATGGTCTCAGCGTTGCGCACAACAGGAGTGACAAGACCCTTCTCGGTCGCGACGGCAACGCTAATATCAACATAGTCCCTGTAGACGATAGTATCACCACCGTTGGGACCCTCAATCGAAGCGTTGACGACAGGAAGGTCACGAATGGCGAGGACGACGGCACGGGAGAAGGCGCTCATGAAGCCAAGCTTAACTCCTGTCTTCTTGAGGACCTCATCCTTATACTTGTTGCGGAACTCGATCAGAGCCGACATGTCGACCTCGTTGAAGGTCGTCAGCGACGCGGCGGTGTTCTGCGATTGCTTGAGACGCTCGGCAATGCGGAGACGCATTCGGTTCATCTTGACCTACACGCATCCGGTCAGATCAAGCACATGGACAACTGCGGTTATTTCTCAAAAGTTCGAGCGAGGCATTACTTACCCTCCGCTCCTCACGGTTGCCGAGGGTAACCGCGGGAGTCTCAGCAGGCTTGCTGGCCGGCTTGGGAGAGGCGGGAGCCTCCTGCTTTGGCGGAGCAGGAGCCGGAGCAGCAGTCTTGGAAGGTTCAGGAGCCGGGGCCTCCGGAACCTTCTTCTCTTCAACCTTCGGCTCCGGGGCCGCAGCCTTGGGCTGCTCCTTGGCTGCCTCAGCCGGCTTTTCGCCACCGACCTCCAGGCGCACAAGGTCTTGGCCGACGAGAACGGTGTCCTCCTCATTCACAAAGAATTCCTTGATAACACCAGCTTCGGGGGCATTGACAGCAACGTCGATCTAGCATGACAGCGAGTTAGCGCCAGTACTCAGGCGACCCGACCAACAACGTCATGGCGCGGTGCCACACCCACCTTGTCGGTCTCAATGGTCGCAATCTCCTCGTCCGCCTCAACGTAGTCACCAACGGCCTTGTTCCACTGTTTCAACGTGCCCTCGGTGATCGACTCGGCCATCTGAGGCACCTTGATGATCTTGTCGGCATAGGTCCGGACATGCTGGAACTGCAGGGGGAGCTGGCGTAGGGCTGCGTGGGTGTTGAGGACAGCGAACTTAGGAGCGGCACGCGCCGCCATGCGAAGACCGCGATACAGCATCCTGACTGCGAAGGTGTGTGTATGGGCTCAGGGGGGTGAGGGAGAGAAGGAAGTGGTTGCCGGCCGTGCGTTGCGCGAATTGAGGATGCTAAAAAGATCTGCAGGACAACTTGGGTCGCAAGCGGCGTAAGGCAGAGAAAGGATTGGTGTAACTGCTCAGACGGCAAAAGCGCACAACACAGGCCCCGGCAATATGAATCGCAGAGCAAGCGGGCAGGGGGGAGGGGAAGAAAGCACCGAAATGTCTTCTGGACGGTGCAGGCGAAAGGAAAGATCGATTAGGAGGAAAGATAACGAGGGACACAAATTATGGAGAAGTTTAAAGCCCGAGCCGAAGTGGACAGGGCACTGAGGGCAGCGGATTTGCGCCGTTTGCTTACAAGAGCCAGGACCCAGGAAGCCAGGAAGTCTAGCACCGGGCAATGCGGGCATGAGAAAAAAAAATGACCACGGCACCCCTCGCTCGCTCGCTGGCAGAGCCCAAAGCCGGCTTCCAATTGTGTCAGGGATTGCAAAAACCCAGCCTGTGAGCGGCGCTGCCGGCACGCAACGCGATCTCCGCTCCTCACTGGAACACTGGGCCGCAACTGGTGCTGGCACGGACACAGAACACCCACTGGTCCGGTGACCTCAGCCCGCACCGCCTTCATCGCAGGGATCCAGGCACGGGAAGCTCGCCGGACGCGCCAAGGCAGGCGTGCACGGCAACTGTTGTGCAGTCTCGGCAAAAGGGAACGGAACGGAGGAACGTCCGTCGAAGCTTGAATGGTTGTTGGAACCAGCTCGCCAGCCGTGAGATGCCTGAGGATCGAACACTGCAGCACTTGGAAGGGGGAAAGGGGCGGGGCGCTTGGCTTCTCGCCAGAGCCTTGTCAGTCCTTCGCCAATCGTCATTAATGCCAAGCAATCCCACCAGCGCAGCCTCGGGTCCCTGATGTGGCCTGAGGCACAAACCCGCGGCGAAGCTGTCCCGCCCAATTGCTGTCAATTCTGATTGAGCTCAAAGTGCTCGAGCCGTCACCACGCCCTGCTATCGCAAACACGCAGCCTAGGTATATCCCCGCCACGACCCCGCGACCGGTCCGTGGGTGCTGCGACTCGATATCCGGGCTTTCCGGCTGACACATACAACGGTTCTGGAGGGTCTCGATTTGTAGAAGTGGTTACCAGACGCCGAAACCTTAGCACAGTTACGTCGCCACAGCCGCCCACCATGTCGAACAGGCAGGCCGCTCTGTCAGTCATGCCCACTCCTTCCGTCTTGATGCCGCCTGCCTCCATGTTGGCGTCCATTGACGAGCCGAACCTTGTTGCTGACACTATGGCCCCAGCTCGCTCTACCGCCGGGCATTGAAGCTCGCTCTCGACTGGACGGTGCATCGCAACCTCTGGCGGGGCCAGGCGCTTTACATCCGCTCCCTCTTCGAGAAGAACCGCAATGTTACCGATCCACGTCTGCAACGGGTGCGAAATATCAACAGTATCCTGAGGTTGCACGCAAGACAGGAAGCGCTGACCAGGAGGGATCGTGCAGGCACTGCTGAAGGAGACGGAGAAGCTGTTGGAGAAGTGGAAGCACCCAGATCCGTACTGCCCACCGACTGCTCCTGGAGGTCTGCATTGCCCTAAATTCACGTTCTTTTCTAAAAAACGGGACCGCCCTGACAACGGTAACAGGTTCCAAGTACGAAAGGAATCTGCCTGTTCCCAACCTCGAACGTAAGTTTTTCCTTCAATTGCAAAATCTAGGCTGCATTGCCTTCGTGGCTGACCCTCAATTTCTGTCGGCAGCCCCCCCGCCGCTCAAGTTCTGATGAATACAGTGGAATGGTGTTCGCGAGCAGTCACATAGAGAACCAAAATACACGCTTTCTGGCATTTGACTTGAATTCAGCATTGTGATTTGAAAGCATTTTTGGTAGTTATCATGGTCGCGTCATCGTCTAAGCACGTCGCGTCTGAAGGCCACAGCCGAGTTCAAATGCTGTGGGTAATCCCAAGCCAATACCGACCTACTACCAATCTACGTGGAACGCGTCTGAAACCTAGTCACACAGTTCTCGAGGCAACAGCGAGATCATGATCAAATATTTAAAAGGTATTCTCATTCATGACCATGACCATGCCCATCATGGTATTAATGTACAACCCGAACGTGCATAAAAGACAACCGATGACCCGATACCGTGTGACCCCAATATCATGAACCCAAAGCCGACCAAAAAAGGAAAGCAAACTGGAAAAGAACCGAACCCCCGAAAAATCAAAGCTCCTGAGACAAGTTCTTGCCAGTCTTCGCTGTCTTCTTGGGAAGAAGGTCTGGAATCAAGTTAGTCATCCGTAGTAGGCAAAACATTCGATGTGGCCGACGTACTCTGATGGATGTTGGGAAGGACACCACCCTGGGCGATGGTGACGTGGCCCAGGAGCTTATTCAGCTCCTCATCGTTGCGGATGGCGAGCTGAAGGTGGCGCGGGATGATACGGGTCTTCTTGTTGTCACGAGCGGCATTGCCAGCCAGCTCAAGAATTTCGGCGGCGAGGTACTCAAGGACAGCAGCTAGGTAGACGGGAGCACCAGCACCGACACGCTGGGCATAGTTGCCCTTGCGGAGGAGACGGTGCACACGACCGACAGGGAACGCGAGACCGGCCTTAGAAGAGCGACTATAGATGATGTTAGCATGTCCAAAACGCGAAAGATGTGACAACTGAGCTGGGACGCCAGAAAAGTATGGGATTCGCGATGGATAGTCAGCCGCCGAGGACGGCCCGTGGTCGATGAGGGAAACTCACGATTGAGCGCTCTTGGTGCCAGAGGCCTTGCCACCAGACTTGCCGCCAGTCATTTTGATGGTTTTTGATGTAAAATGAAATGTACAAATTAAAATGTGTGGTGAGAGAGGCTTGGTATCGCGGGTGCCGTGTGGGCAATCAATGCGTCGACAGTTTGGTTGATGAAGGAGTGAAAATGGGGAGGAAGACGGTCGTCGGCGGTGGGGGATGAGGCACGTTAAGTAGTTTTCGCGTAAGCGTGCAAGATCACGAATCACTCGCGCCTCCCTTGGCGATTGATCGGAACTGTTGGGGCTAGTCCAAAAACGGTCCACAGCTATGGGTGGGGTTTAGGCCTGCCGCGCCGCTGGCTGGCGTTCGAAAAATCGGGCCAATCCGGCGCTGCCAATCATTGGATTGCATCTGGCTTGCTTTTGGAGGGTTTAAGATCAGGGCACTCCCCGGCCAAAAAAACACATCCAAAAATGACGACGCCTCATCAGCATTTTTTTGTCATGCTTGTTACCCGCGCAAGGCTCCAGCGTTTTTAGCATCAGCAAACCAACAACATTCTTTGATGGCCAGCGCACTCATTGCTGCCCACTCCCCACTTCCACCATCATCGTCACCACAACCTGGTCGACCTTGAATTGTTCGGCCTTCTATTCTCTTGGTCCTTTCCCTTCGTGCATTTTCGACCCGAATACTCTCGACAGCCGCTTCCGTCCCTCGATGTCCCAGAACCCCAGACCCTCCACAATCCCTGTCCTGTCTGGCCCTGTTTGACAAATGGTCACCCAAAGCTCGGGACACTTCCACGTCGGCTATTCCGGTTGGTGTTCCTAACCGTGACTCAATGCCTTAGATATATGAGCCATGTCTATGAGATGATTATGAGCCACCTCAAATCCAGAGCGATGTCTATTGGCTCAGACCTCCTTGGCTGGAAATTCAAGTTTGACCGGCCAAATGGACTCCGATTCCAGTATTGGGGCGTTGAAAGCGATGCCCAGCGGGTTTCGGACCCATTTTCAGGTAGGAGTGGTATTTCCGGACTAAAAGGGGTCGAACGACATAGTCGGACGTCACGATGGGCTCGGTAGCCTGGGCCCGGATGTAGCTATAGAACTTGGGTCGGGATTTTGGTCTCAGAAGCCAATGAATCTTATCCAGCTCGTGCAAAACGAGCCCCGTAGGGCAGAACTGGGGCTGTCCTCCCCGGTCAGTAGGCTCACGGCGGAGCCAGAGTGCGTCTCGGGTACCCTTTCCAACGGCTGTTCCCGTTGTGACAGTCCGTCTCTTCCGTAAAATCGGAGCCGGGTGGCTCTTCCCCAAGTCTCGGGGAGCAGTTCACAACGAGTCTGTCCTCTCGGGAGCCAATCACGATGAGGCGATGGACCTTGGAGATGCGTAGGGCTGGAGGTCCTGAGGTCCTGATGTCCCTCCATACCCCGAGATCTGCCCGCAGTGTCTCCATCGAAGCGATGCCGCCATGCAGAGGCCTGGCAAGGGACGTTGCGCTTAGTGTCGTGATACTCTAAATTCAGAGCACATATGTATGACAGCCTGGATGCTCTAGATTGAGTGCACATGCTCGGCAACAGGTTTGGAGGAGAGCCATGTCAAAGGGCCCTCTATGTCCAGTTCTCCGTCAATTGAGAGGGAGTCATGCTCAATGCGGGTCCATGATGTGTTATGAAAGCTCTCTTGAGCCTCAAAGAAGTTATCTCGCTGCCGCAGGGAGAAGAGGCCATTGTTGCTGAGTGTGCTCTGCGACGTTCTGATGAGCAGGCCTAGGGCCACAGAACGGATGACAACAGCCCCGCGGTGCAAGGTACGTACCTTCTATGATGGCATGCCTGGTGAGCTCCAGTTCTCGTACCTAACCTGCCTGTCAAGGTTCCGGAAGCTCTCCTTGGGCCCTGGCAAGCTGGAATTTGCCATTTTCGGGTTGTTGTGGCGCTCGGGCCATCGCGTTACCTTGTTGCTTCGCTGCGTCGATCTAGGGAGATTTTTCGCCAAATCACGTTGGCGGCTGGCGACAGTCCCCACTTCTTCGCGCGGTCCCTCCAAATCAATCCCGCCCAAATCAGCAGGACGCCTCCTGCCAGTCGCGTCCAGTACAAAAGGGCCCAGTCCCCTCGCCGACTTCAATTCTTCTCATCAACCAACTTTTCCTCCCGCAACATCCACGCCCCTCCCAGGCCCCAAATCCATCGAGACTTTTCAAGTCGCATTACTTTTCTGCATCATCAACTTCGACTTTTCAGATATCAAAAATGGCGCCCAAGGCTGATGCTCAGAAGAAGCCCGCCTCCAAGGCCCCGGCTAGCACTGCTTCCAAGGCTCCCTCTGAGAAGAAGGATGCCGGTAAGAAGACCGCCGCCTCTGGCGAGAAGAAAAAGCGGACCAAGGCCCGCAAGGAGACCTACTCCTCCTACATCTACAAGGGTAAGTTTGGCACATCCAGGACGTGTTCCGCACAACATGTAGAGGTGTAGCACAATACCAGCACGCATCTCCACCTGTTATGAGCTTCGAGACATTTTTGCTGACTCGAGTCCAGTCCTGAAGCAGGTCCACCCCGACACTGGTATCTCCAACCGGGCGATGTCTATCCTCAACTCCTTCGTGAACGGTGAGTCACAGCTCCCGTGCCTCTTTTGGCACAATTCGACTTTCTTTGCTGACTTTGGCCGAAGACATTTTTGAGCGCGTTGCTACTGAGGCTTCTAAGCTCGCTGCCTACAACAAGAAGTCTACCATCTCCTCCCGCGAGATTCAGACCGCTGTCCGCCTCATCCTTCCTGGCGAGCTGGCCAAGCACGCTGTCTCGGAAGGTACCAAGGCCGTCACCAAGTACTCTTCCAGCACGAAATAAGCGACGTGATTCTTTCCTTTTCTTGTTCTTTTCTCTTAGGGTACCGGGATTGCTTGGCATTTGGGAGTCATGACGAGGCTGGTCAAGGTACAGCGCGCCTTGAGGGTCTCTTAATGCAATGCGTTACGGATGGTCTGCTTTTATGGGGGCTCTGTTTTTTCTCAGGGTTTTATGGGGTTTGCGGTTGTACAATAACATACCTTGATATCAGGGTTTCGGGCGAAATGAATCGTGCATATGATCACTTGTGGTTTTCCGCAATTTCTGCGTGGTCAGTGATGTCGTGACTGCAGTACGCGGCGCGTCTGTACACGCCGCGTCTGACCAGGGTTCTGGTTGGACCATGCTGCGGATTTGGGCCCTTGTCGATGCGCGAAGCTAGCGCGACCAAGTGCCGGTTTTAAGCACTTCTCCATTAGATATCTAACATAAAACTGTTTGAGTATTGCGCTCGTGGCATCAGAGCCAGCATGTCCAGAATTCGCACCCAGAAAGTCGTTATCCCAAGCCTGCCTTCGAGCGTTTGACGACTTGAGCGACGGGCTCCAGGATGCCCTTGTTGTCTGCCGCTCCCAACGCCATGCCCTTGGTCCAGCCCATTTTTTCCAACATTGCACGTCCCTTGTTATCCTGCCCGAGTTCTGGAACTGAAGCTCCCACAATCTCTCCATCGCGCAAAATGAGAGCTTTGTAGCTGCTTCGAGCTTTGCTCTCACCAGTAACACTGGGTAACTTAGAAGGCTTGTGGCCCCGAATATCGACGCGGTGGAAGTACTTGCGGTGGATGCGCATAGCTGCCTTGTCGACATGGTTAGTTGCCTCCTCGACCTTTGTCGAAGCGTATCGGACGGTGCGCTTGGTCCTGTAAAACACGGGGCGCCTCTGATCACCCGATCCGGACGATTTGGATGTGATGTTAAACTTATTCGCAAGTTCGTGGAGGATCTTGCGAGCGTGTTTGTCAAGAGGAGGGAACTCGAGTCTGGAGGTCATGAAATCAGTATGCAGGAACAATATTGTTGCGGATGAACAGTATTTGCTTACCGTTCTGCTGAGCTGAGTAGGAAAGAAACCAGTTCAGCTTTCATGTCATCCAACTTCATACCATGCGGATACTTGACGCGCAGATCGTTCAAGTCTGCGTTTTTCCCCAACAAACCCTGACTGCGAAGTGCCTCACGGGCCATCTTGCGTTCCTTTTTACGCTCCCTATCGCGCTGCCACGCAGCTCGAAGGGCAGCTTCGACTTCGGAATCGGAAACGTTGAAATTGGGTGGCTGCTTGCTACGCCTCTTGCGAGGATGTCGGAGGTAGGGTGCACCCCATTCCCCAATTTCCAGGTTATCAAGTGCGTCGGCGACCTGACTGGCAGAAGGAAGAGTCGTATGCTGTTTTTGCTGCCTCCCCTTGTCCCTTTTTGCGGCTGCGGAGCTGTTGAACAAGAGTAGCTTATCGCTTCCCATCCCATGCTCTTCTTGCTTAGCAAGAAGCTGGGCAAGCGTTTCATCATCCATATCTTCAGCCATACTCTCGTCCTCCTCGCTTTCACTCTTCTCTTCGTTCAACATGTCGGTGGTTTCGACATCACTAGTGCCACTAGCTCCCGACACCTCTGACCCGCTATCTTCTCCTAGAGAGTCGCCAGTCTTGAAAAGTCCAAACTCGTCCTCCCTACCAAAATTGACAGAATCATGATCGCCTCCCAGGTCTCTGTAGCCAGAGAGGGCCTGCAGCTGTTGAGAAAAGAAATCGTCTTCGTCATTTGCGGCCATGTTTTCGATGTAATCTGCCAAGATTGCATCTTCTTCGGAATCTTCCTCCATAGGGGGAGGGTGACGGCTGTTTCGTCTTCCCTTCAACTGCTTTTTGCGGGACATCCCAAAGGCCAATGTATCGTTTTGAGAAGTCCTGTTGTGAGGGGCCACTACGAGCGCTCTGGTCTTTCTTGCGTTTGAGGACTTTTGTTCCGCAGATGGTTTGCTATCTTGAGATGACTTCTGAAATGTGGAGAATTCGGGTGTAGAGGACTGATCAAGCCGTTTACTTGTCCCCTTAGCGGCCGCCAGCCGACCTTTAAATAGAATGACTTCCTCGCTCGAGTCGGAGCCACATGATGCTCTCGGAGAAGCAGGTTTTGATGACGTCTTTTTTTCCTTTTCTGCTGGAGGAGGCTTTGGGGGTGGGGCCTGGGTTAATTTTTCCAACATGGACTCGTCTCCTTCAAGGTCGAAAACAAAAAGCCCGTCATTAGACTGGATTTCTTTATCGGTCTGTATGGTCTCTTTGGCTGTTGTGATCTCTTCGACTTCACACTTTTCGACCTGTTCAACCTCTTCAGCTGCGGAGGAGCCATTGCCGACTGCTGTGACAGACTTGGAGATAACAGCACTTTGGTTGAGTCTTGGTTGTTCGATGAAGCGGATAGTTGTCTCGACAGTTGTTTCAACAGTGACACGATTGAGTACTTCAGTTTCGGGAGTTGCTGCATTAGGATATGCGGACGCATCAATGTTTCCATTGGTTTCCGGATTATCATTCACAGATTCGGTCACTTCTCCGGACTCAGGGCGTTCCAGCTCCTTCAGTTCTTTGAGTGGCTCGACGAAGCCAGCACTGATGAAGGCAATGGGCTTATGCCTAAGCTTGGCATCTCCTTCCAACCATGCCCACTCTGACCTATGGGAAGCTGTGTTCCTAGCCTCGTCTCTCATTGAAAAGCCTAATAAGGTCAGAATGAAGAGTTGGATGTACAAGGGGGGTAGCCATGGTTCTCAGTTGGCTCATACCATGTGATGCATGCTCCTTGGAAGGAGGTAGTGTAGGAGTGAATGACTGGGGCCTGAAGGGCCGGGATGATGAGGGCTGACCGCGACCACGACTGGCGCAGGGAGGCGCCCATTTCCCTCTCTTTGGCGGCATATCTAAGCAGTCAGTCCAGCACGCAAAACCCAGACTAAAACCAAATGCTGAACTAAGTCGATGCAAGCTCCTTATGCGGAAGATACAGATGCCAATATGGTCGCATTCAAAGACCTTAGCTGGGGAGCTTGTCAGTCCAAGCCAGAATGGTGTTTCTGGCCCTTTCCAACTTGCTTTTCCGGTGTTGAATGGTTATGTAATGTAGTCGGTTGGGGTTGGAAAGTCTCTGCTGGATAAAAAGATAGACGTTTGTTTGGCCACTGAAGTCCCTTGCCCATGTCAGAAGGAAACTGCTGTCGGGTTAGGGTTCTCACCCACTCTTCCACGTTATCTTACGTCATGTTACGTACTTTTAGTGGAGTTACATATTTTACAATGATCTTTCCTGGCTTTCCCGCACCGTCTCCGTTTGGAATGTTCCGCTGACTGACCGCTGCAGATATGCGAGCTCATCCGACCGCACAAACTTTAAGGGGAATTCTTCTTTCAAATGGTAACCAAGCAGGCAAAAGGATATCTAACACGACGGCGTGAAATTTGCGTCTAAGTGAGTGTTAGAAACGAGACGCTTACGAGGAACACATTTACTGTCGGTGACTCCCATGCATGATCCGAAAACGGTAAGGCTGGCTGGCTGATCAACGCGGAGATGTGGGGCCAGCAACCCAGATGACAGCGACGCAGCGCGGAACACAGGCACGTTCTTAACGCATCCTCTTGCTATCATCGCCATCGCTATTTCCCCTGTAGCTTCGTCCAAGCAACTCCTTCAAGCTTCGCGACTCACACAAAAACTCCATTGCACAAGTTCCCTGTGCTCTGGCGCCCTAGAGCTCTGCTTGATCAGAGTCCAAGAACACACTGAAAACAAAGGCCGACCGCTCATTCAACGGCCATTACGTCAGCGTTTGGCCTGCTTGCACGGGGCCAACGGTAAACAAGGCAGAAGGGGTCCGCCCGATCCCTCTTGCTGTTAGCTCACGCGACCAGCGTTTAGGCATCGTGACGGGAAATACATATATAGTCCTTTAGACTTTCTGCCTGCTCACAAGTCAATATTTTGAACCGCGGCCAGCAGCCTGTAGAGGCAACTAGGAGCGTTAACAACACCAATGTCGGCAGGATCTTGGCAGTCGGCTGTTTCGAGCACATCACCAAAGCTGGCGAGCGCAATGGAGGTCGCCATGGCCGCTGGCGCCGAAGTTAGCCGCGTGAGCCGACGCATCTTGCAGAAGATATGGGATCCAGAGCCCGTCAATGACAGTAATCAGCCTGTGTGGTGTCTGGGTCGCTCCTACATAGCAAACAAGAAGTTCTCGACAAAAGCGCCGCCGCAGTCCTATTCCTCTTCCTCGTCCGTAACATCATCATTGATCCTATCCAGCATCCCTCCTGCCGACACCGCCGTATCCACATCTTCGGCGCCAGTTCCTACTGCTGTCCCCGGCACCAACAGCGGCCATTCGCAACAGCAAACTCCCGAGACCCCCGCGGATTTGAGTGCGAGTAGTGTGGAATCGGCGCTTGCCTACGGGGACGCAGATGGTACTACCGACGGCGGCTGGCCGCCGGCTTTCCTGGACGACTTCGAGTCGCGGATATGGATGACATACCGGACGGGTTTCGAACTGATCCCGCGCTCGACAGATCCGCGGGCCACGTCGGCGCTGTCGTTTAGCATGCGTCTAAAGACATCCTTCGGGGCGGACCAGGCAGGTTTCTCCTCTGACACTGGTTGGGGGTGCATGATCCGATCTGGACAGAGCCTCCTGGCTAACGCATTGTTGATCTCGCGTTTGGGCCGTGGTAGGTTGTTGCTGGCGTTCTCGAGGCGTTAAATATTATAGCTAACGTCGCAACTATTTTGCAGAGTGGAGACGAGGTCAAAACCCGAAAGCCGAGCGTGAGATTCTCTCGCTGTTCGCCGACGACCCAAGGGCCCCCTATTCCTTACATAATTTTGTCAAACACGGGGCGGAGGCGTGTGGTAAGTTCCCGGGGGAGTGGTTTGGTCCGTCGGCGACGGCACGTTGCATTCAGTAAGTCCATGACCTAGCTGCAGTTCGCGGTCTCAGAGGACGTTTGTTAACGTTCCCACAGGGCCTTGGCCAACAAGCATGAGAGTGAACTGCGGGTGTACTCTACCGGTGATCTACCCGATGTGTACGAGGACAGCTTTATGGCGATTGCCAACCCTGACGGCCAGCATTTCCATCCTACCCTTGTCTTGGTATGCACGAGATTGGGAATTGATAAAATCAACAAGGTCTATGAACAGGCCTTGATTTCTACCCTCCAGATGGAGCAGTCCATCGGCATTGCAGGGTGAGCCTTCCTAATATCTCGGCTTTCCTCGCCCTGTTGGCTAACATATCTTTTAGTGGTCGTCCTTCTCAATCTCACTACTTCATTGGCGTTCAGGACCAGTGGCTGTTCTATCTCGATCCTCATTACCCCAGACCCATGCTTCCGTATCGTGAAAACCCTGAAGACTATACCCAAGAAGAGGTAGATTCATGTCATACTCGACGCCTGCGACATCTTCACGTCGAAGACCTGGATCCTAGCATGTTAATCGGCTTCCTGATTAAGGATGAAGATGACTGGGATACGTGGAAGAGCGCAGTGAAGCATGTTCAGGGTAAGGCCATCATCACTGTCTCTCCACATGATCCCGCGCTCGGTGGCACCGGGTCTGGTCGGGCTGAAGCCATCGATGAGGTGGAGACTTTGAGCGATGACGACAACGACGATGGTGATACCGTGCTTCAGGCATGAAGCATCTTTTCTGAAAACTGGTATACATATCGGCTAAGATACGTATGCATTGATGTCGGCCGGGTGAACTTGCTCTACGCTTTGATGAGCTGACACCAGAGCCACGAAGATCTTTCTGCATGAGAGATAGTGCGGGTCTCGGGATGAGCAAATCGCAGTTCAGTCTGCAGATCGGGGACTGGTTCAGCGCCGCTTTTTTTTGTTGCTGCCACTTCCCTTGTTTGTATTGGGAACGTAGGTGGCGTGATCCAGCTCCTTAACATGCTGGAAGAGTTTGTTTCGTGACTCAAACGTAGCGTTGCAGACAGCGCATTTGTGCTGCTAATGTTTATGGGGGGCGTCAGATATTTTGACCTTGTACGGCTTCACGTGTACATAGGGGCATGGATCGTATGGACGTAATGCGCATAACGACTTACATTTGCAGCCTGTGCCTCAGATGCCTGGCGAGCGGCTTTCTTCTCTCTTTTCAACTTGGCTTTGCCGATTTTCTTTGCACCATTTGGCTTAGCAATGCTGTCATCCTCCAATGTAAGGTCTTCAAGGCTGGCAGTTGCGGTGTCGACAACCTTGGCGATGTTATCCTTTGGGGTTTTGCCTTTCTTATTGCCCCCTAAAATTCGTTCCTCAACCTTTGATCTGGGGGCGTACTCGTCATCTTCTTCACTGGATGAGACTTCGGGTTGCCCTTCTTCCTCCTGATCTAGTTGTGGAGAGATGTGCTTGGTATCTTCCACGGTAATCCCAAGGTGCACATTGGGCACTTCAGTGATGCCCTCCTCTTCATCCTCAGGTTCGGCAGGTGCAGACCGCGAAGGAGATGGGTCTTGAAGGTCAAAGTTCTGGTCCTCTTTCCTCATTTGCCTTTTGAGCTGCTGTACCGCTTTGATGTGCTTTTTGCTCTTTTCATGAGCCTCAAATTGCTTTTCGCTCTTGAATGTCTTGTTACACACAACACATTCGATCTCCTCGATTTCCTCCTCTTCCTCCGAAAGCGAGAAGCCGCCCTCGTTCTCATCAACTTCCCTGGATTGAACCCATTCAGGCATGACAAACTCAGCCAACTTCTCTTTGTTCGCTGCCCGTTGCCGTGCTGCCTGAGCTGCTACAGAATTCCGCAGAAGCTGTTGCCTTTCGACCTCAGACTGCTTATTAGGCCTATATCGCGGGTCCCTCTTCTTGACAAAGGCCACCAGGGACAGGACAGCGTCATTGAATTCCCGAATCCCCTCCTCGCGAAACTTTTTATTCTCCTTCTCCATCAAGCGGCGAACACGGCGGTCAGGGGCATCCGAGAGACGGTATTTATCCCTCCAGCTGAACGACTTCCGGGTTGAAAAGCTGGACCACACACTGTAGAATGGCTTTGCAACGGTCTCATAGTCGTCGGTAGACTTGCCAAAAGGGGGGTATAGCACTGGCTCAGCACCATTGTATTCAGATGCCGCGGTTTCCTCCGCAGCAAGCTGGTCGAAGAACTCGTTGAGGATGCTAAAAAAGCCCCTTGGGCTATCATCCATCGGTACACTCTTGTTGAAGCGGCTCATCAAATCGAAGATTGCGCTGGCAGATGTGTGGCCTCCGGGGGACCTTTCGGTGCCTGGAGCGCCAGAGCTAATGTCGTCCTCGCCGCTGAGAATGGCATCGCGATGAGAGTCATACCAAGCTCGCTCCTGCGGATCAGATAGAATCTCGTAGGCAGTCTGGACCTCAGCGAATCGTTTCGTGGCGTTCTCGACATCGTTAAGGTTGCGGTCCGGGTGCAGCTCGAGAGCCTTTCGCTTGTATGCTCGCCGGATTCTGAGAGTAGATGGGGTTAGGGGCTGATCTAAACACGCGGAGCAATGGTGCCCCCGGAAGTAGCAAGCAAGTGAGCAAACGATGCACTCACTCTTCGTCTGTAGCATTGCGATCAACGCCGAGCAGCTCGTAGTAGCACGTCTTGCGCGGAGTGGCTGTCTGGTTGCCGCCGACTCGCGGAGTTGACTGTTCGGCTCCCATGGCTGCGATGCAACACTTGCTTTTACGGTGGTTGCAACACAAAGGCGCGTATATTGCAATTCGTCTAATTCACATGCTCAGGGACTTGACTACTGTTTGTGGTAGTGCGTGGCGTCTGAGCTGTTGGTCGATCTCTGTCAAAGATTGACCTGTCCGTGGCTTCCCCCCCCTTTCCCTCGTGGTCCAGTCTCTGGATGTCCTTGGGCAGGGAAAAGTTTTGGCGGGGTAGGGGTTCCTTGCTGGTGGGGCCTTGTATTATACGCAGTATGATGCCATTTGGTAACGTAATCTGTAAAACAGCAGAGATGACAGTTCACCAACCGCCAGCCTCTAGGGTCTTTTTCTTCAGAAGCTCTAGCTGCAGGGGATGGGGCTAATCAAGGTGCGGCGCGGGGTTGCCACACAAGTCTGAGTTGCATTCCTGGGAAACTAATCACAAGGAGCCATCAGGTGATGAATTATATGGATGACATGGATGGACGGATGTGACTGGAGTCCGCAGGCGGTCTGGTGCCTTTTACCCGCGGTACAGGCTACGCCACGCTTGAGGTACAGATCTGTATTGCTGTATTGGGATACAATGCCAGGCGATCTATGCGTGGATAGGGGTTTGGATGAAAAGCGGGAAGTGCTGGCTGCAGTGGGGACCTGGGGCTTGACGGCGAGAATAGCAACCCCATATACATATAATCTGGGCATTTGTCCTGCCCTTCTAAATGTGCACGCGCTTAAGCCTTTCTCGACTTCTCTCATATTAGCGCACCATTCCCCCAAGTGCAGGATGAGCAGCGCCTCACGTTTTACACAATTCCCTCTTTGAGCCGCTGCTGAGGCCTTCTCATAACTGTCACCATACACTAATCGTTTTTACTTGAGCATTTCTGCCTGCCTCCTCAGCAGCCCCTCGACTCCGGTCATATAGTCTTGGGCCTGGAGGAGCACAGACGACTTACATGACGTTGCCCTGCGCCATGCACCGGCACCTCTCCGAAACGTATGAATTAGCTCCAGCCCGGCCGGCGTACTTGCTGCGATGAAGTTCGGACACACGTTCCAAGAGGCATTGGCCAAAGAGCGCTACCCTCAGCACTGGGTTGAAAAGGCCATCCCCTACCGCCAGCTCAAGAAGATCTTGGGAAAAGTTCGTGAGGAGCTTCATAAAAATGGCTACGATCCCGATACTCTCCGCCAGCTGCTCGCTGACCACAAAGCCGAGTATCATCTTGAGCCGGACGACGCTCATCTGCTTCACCCTAAGCTGATCGTGCGCTCCGGAGTTCGTACTCTTCCTGCCCCAGAAAACGCTAAGGAAGAGGTGAAGGAGGGCGAGTCTGTGTCCGAGGCGATCCCACCGGCAGTGGATAGCCTCAATTCCTCTTCTTCCGAGCATCCCCAGGCATCCCGCTCCCTGCAGCAGGTCGACGAGGATGGATGGATCAAGATTCCCATGGACGCGGATGAGAGGTTCTTCAACCTTTTGTCATCAGATGTCAACGAACTGGATGTGCTGCAGACTCAAGAGCAGCAGTCAATGACCTTGAAGATCCACGACCTAGGGGCAGAGATATCCCAGGTTGCAAAGCCTCGTAAGGGCCTAGTAAATTTGTCCAAATCGGACCTCTACCGTTGGCGTGAAATCTTCGAGATCTATCTTGCTGCCGAAGTCTTCTTTTCGACTAGCGAGCAGCATGGGGGGCTTCGCAACAGCGAGAAGGCCCGACAGCAGCTTATTTGGTTCCAGGAAGAGGTTAATAAGAGACAACTTCCTCAAAGATTCAAAATCGAATCCAGCGCCATCGCTTACATGCATTTTCTGAATTTGAACGCTACGCTCCTGCAAAATCTTCAGTTTCAGGAACTTAACCAGACAGCCGTCACAAAGATCATCAAGAGTAAGCCAAAGAAGTGCCCCTGAGGTGCTTCCTCAACATATCCTTTGTCAACCGTTCTGACTTCAAGGCAGAATTCGACAAGCGCACTTCGCTCGGGGTCAAGCAAGTTTTCCCAAAGCTCATGTATACGGCACATTTCATTTCAGAGTCTGTCTCCAAAGATATCTGCGCTCAACTGAGCCGGGAGGTTATTAATTTGGTTCCACAAGTCGTGGATTACTCATGCACAATTTGTGAGTCCAGACTGCACCATGCCACCCAGCTGACTGCAATTGCTCCGACTGCACGACGTAACGACGGCAAAAGAGCGAGCGAATCATGACGCCTCTTCAGGAAGGCAGACTACCAAGACATGCATCTACACGAGTGTACATGCGGCTAACACGATCTAGGCATGTCTATTTGCTGGATTCCCGTCCGTCTGGACTGTGATCATGTATTCTGCATCCGCTGCATGATTAAGATGCAGAATCAGAACAAACGCTTTTGCCCTCTATGTCGTGCTGATGTGATTCAGCGTGCGAACGAGAGTACGTCTTCATGAGGTTTTCTGCAACTGTCATCTCGCATTGCTAATGCTTACCTAGATCACATCGATGACGAGATGGTGCGCTTCCTGGAGCGTTGGTTTCCAAAGGAAACCAAAGAAAAGCAAGCATGGAATGAACTGGAACGGCGCAAGGAGTTGCTGGGTGAGGCTCTCGTCCGAGAAGATGCTCCCCCCTGCATCGTCATGTGATCGCGTTTGTTCATGGGAAAGACCTTTTCATTCTTCACTTATTGGCATTGCCAGCCAGCATTCAAGATACCCACTAGTTCCAGAGAATACTATAATTGAATACCCCCAATTCTCTCTTCGGTCAACAGCATCAGTCTAAGAATCGATTGTCTTGGCGCCATTGCCGTCACCATTGCCCTCTACACTCTGTTCAGCCACTTTCAACGCCTCCTTGAACACGGCTACAATGTGCTCCGTCTCCTCAAGGCCAACACTAATGCGGATCAGATCGGGATCGACACCAAACTGCTTAGCCCAGTCCAGCTCTTGGTAGTGCGCTAGTAAAACGTAGGGAGAAGTAAGCGTAAAGTTGGTACCCAGACTTGGGCCCTTGGCCGTGTCAATGGCATCGTAAAAGGCAATTGCTTGCCTGCGATCATGGAAGACGACCGAGATCAGACCTCCATACCCGCCATTGGCGACCTTGCAAGCCTCGTAGTTGGCGCGAGATTCGTTGTACTTGGGGTAAAAGAGCGTTTTGATCAGAGGGCTGGCGCGGAAAACATGGCAAATGGCCTCAGCGTTGGCGTTAATACGGTCAATACGCGACACGAAGTCACGGCTGTTGCGCTCCATGAACATGACGTCCTCAGGCCAGTACGTGTCCTCGAACTCGGCGTGCGCAAATTGCTTGAGAGCGCTATAGTACCGGCCGTTAGGGTTAAAGACGGCACTACCGCCCATGACATTGCAGTCGCCCGAGAAGATCTTGGTCAGGCTGCTGACAACAATATCAGCGAACGGCAGCACGTTTATGTTGGCGAAAGTGCCGATGGTCTCGTCGACCACGACGGCGAAGTCGTAGCGGTCGGCCAACTCCCGGATGCGCCGTAAATTGGGGCAAGTCAGCAGCGGGTTGCCAGGGAACTCGCAGAAGAGAGCAAGGAAGCGCTCGCCGCTCTCGAGCCGCCGCTCGATCTCGTCCAAATCGGCCTCGGACGCGTGGCCGTAGAAGGCGCAGCCTGGACCGAACTTCTGCAATATTTTCAGCGTGTCGACGTAGGGGAAGCCGAAGTTGATGCTCTTCATGTTGCCCCGCGCACCGAGCAGCGCCCGGTGAGAGTTGAAGATGGCGCTCATGCCCGACGGGAACAGGTAGATATCTTCTTCGCGCAAGTTGACCACCCCACGGGTGTTGGCCGCCATCTCGCCTTCCGGTGGTGGCGCCGTCGTGAGCTCGTGGTTGCTGCGCAGCGCACCCGCGATGCGCCGCTTGATGGCTGACTTGGCAGGCTCGACGAAAGAGACGTCGAGGTTGCGGCCGAAGCGCTCTTCTAGGAAGCGCGAGGATTCCTGGACATCTGGAATAGCACTGGCTGTAGTCTCGAGATCTCTATCGGGACTGAGCCCGGGGGAGGGAGTCGACTTGGGAGTCTGGACGCCGGGCGTCCGCTGGTAGCGCTTGGGGCCCTTACATGGCTTAGGACTTGCGGGAATAGAGGCAGGCAAGTCATCGTCACGGCGAAGCAAACCATCCTTGAAGAGCCCGTGGCAAAATTCGGCTCTGCGGCTTGAAACACCGTCGCCAGTGTGCTGCCAGTACTGCTTCACATAAGGAAACGCTTCCTGAGAGCAGATGACTGCCGAAATGTTAGGAGAAAGGGATACCAGGGCCCTGGCGCTGGGTTTCGACGTGTCCAGAACGAGATGGACAGTGTCTAGGGTGGCAGCGATGGCAGGAGGAGCGAGTGACTTGACAAAAGCCAAACACCTGACAGCGATCCGGCGAGTTGGAAAGAGGAAAGCTTTGTGGCCGGGAGTTCCGAACTTAGCCACGATATCACTGGCGAAGTTTTGGATGCTCTTGTGGATGACGAAGCTAGATAAACGTTAGTAAAAAGTGGTTCGGGTACAAGGAGGATGGACTTCGACCGTCAAAATGATGAGTCGATTACCCGAGCAGACTGGGGTGATTTGACTCAAGGAGTTCATACCGAGGATAGCCTGTTTGCATGCGGCTAACAACCCAATCTTCGCCCTCCTCATAACCAATGTTGGACCTCCAGGTTGGCAACGAGACACTCACGGCCTGGATGCATATTAATTAGCAAAGGTCTCCAAACTTGTTGAGAGGAAGGATTTGAACTACTCACATGAGCCGTATCAGGAGGGATGGCTTCCCCGAGCTCAAAATGCGGCATGATGATAACGAGGCCGTGAGAACATGAAGTTTGATACTAGTACCTATGACTATTTAAAACATTGTAAGGGATCCGACTATCGAGATAGGATGTGTCCGGGAGCTCAGGCTCAAGTAGGGTCAAGTGAGAGACCGGTGAGGGTATAACAGTATGTTCTTAAGGTTGTGGGATCAACAAGACGAGATGGGGGAGCTCGGGCTCACTGCTTGACGAACCTGAAGGGGTGGATACCAGATATAGCTGGTCACAAAAAAAGGTACAAACCAATACACTACAGGAAAACCAGTAGGTACCTCTTAGGTAAGAATAAGTTTGTGAGCCAGTAACAAGAGACGGTGAGCGATGATGGATTTTAACTATGACAATGTTTTTGCCATGCACATTCTCACAACCAGCAAACAGTCAATGTCACATCCGTGTCTAGGTCACAGCCGGTCTGAAGCATGAAGAGTGGGTTGACGAAGTGTGGCTGCTAAGAAGCAGTCCGACAGGTATGGAAGGAATTGCAACCACCGTAGTACAGGGAATGGGATTTTGAGATTTCGCCGACCATCGGAGGCGAGCGAGACAGAAACAGACCATGGGCATTTTGGGAAAAAAAAAATAGTGTCGGCTTTTCCCGTCACTAACTACCGGTAAACCCGAGAACCTGACATCTGTTGACTCGCAGTGAGCTCTGGGCAGCACGGTACGGCGTATATCAAAGTTCCTTTCTGCAGTCGAGTTTCATGAAACTACGGGAACCATGACGCAAAGTCTGTTGTTGGAGCACAGTTCGTTGGAGAGTGATGATGGGCGAAGGACTGTCATCCCGCAATGCCAAGCCTGGGCAACCCGTTGATGCTTGAGACACCCTGGAGGCAGGCCCCACGTGGATCGCCGCCGCGTGGGTTAAAACATAGGGTCAGATCTTCGATGGTGGGGCAGCCGAGGGCGCACAGAGGAGGGGTTCGAGGTGGCATATGACTAAGAGAAGACGACTACCCGAGATTCGTGGTGATAGGAAAGAGGAGTAGCTGCATATGCCTTGAAGGGGTTAAGGAACTTAGTTATCCTGAAACTTGATGCTTGCAAGTGAGTTTCCCAGATAGATGGAACTATACTACCGCTCCAACGGAGCAGACTTCATCTCATAATTGTTAAAAACTATGAAAAGAACCAATGCTGAGCACAAGTCATCATTTAAAGCGAAATCTATCATCACTCATATACATTGTCCTTGGTAAAACAATGGCCTCACAATTCAATGATCTGTATCTATGACACAACTGCCCACAGCATCAAGCTTGTGTTTCAACATGATAAACAAAACCAATTATGTACCTCCGACCTGACTACCTAAATAGACAGATGAATGCTAAACAAGACAGACACAACATGTAAAAGCAATATCCAAACAAATGCAAAAAATATGGCTGTTAACAAGACATCGCTCAGTACATAATGCTCATCTTCGCAAAGGAAGTGGATTGCTCCGCTGATATCCAAAAGTTTTCGATTGATGTCATACTCTTAGCACATAGACTCAGTAAATCATTGCACTTCATGTTCCCCAACATCAATGTATTTCATCCCAACCCCAGAACAGCTCTTCCGTGACACTTTTCACCGCCCAACGCAGCTAATGCTGTCATCCGGCACAATGCTGTCATCATCGTTCATCTCATCCTCACTGCTCTCATACCGTCCCCTTGTCCTCGACTTGCTCCTCCGGTGGCCACTTAACGGCAGCGGCGCGTGCCTGCCCGGCATGGGATACCCGGGCACAGCCGCCGAGCCCAGGGGAGGATAGTCCCTTGGAGCAGGGTAATATCCAGCCGCCGCCGGCGGGGGCGGGGCGGGGGCGGGGGTAGTAGTCTCTAGTCGCAGGCGGAGG